TGTGTCCTTGAGGCAGGTAGGCCCGGGTCGGTGTCCTCTGGGGCCCTGCTGCACCAGGAGCAGAGGCCTCGCCTCAGAGGCCCAGGCCCGGGCACAAAGGAAGGGACCACTCTGTCTCTCCATACAGGCCTGAAGGAGGATGGCCTGGCCCCCGGTCTCTGCCTCTCTACCTTGGCCTGGAAGGTTCAAAGCAGAGAGGTGCTCAGATTCTTTTTTTGATTTATTGCATTGGCTAGGGGCCCTCGGCGGGGCCTCCTTGACATAGGGCCCCAGGGGCTCCTGGATAGGCGGACATCTGTAGAATCTCCCCTGTGCTCCACAGGAGTGAGTTCGATGGTCACCAGGCTCCAACTGTGTGTGGGGTTCTGCGCATTCCCCAGCCATTTCATCAAACTCTTGTGATCACTGGAAAAATCCAACCCCATGAATATCTGGAGGGGTGGCTTGCGGTGAAAGCTTCTCTAGGCCTTGGGGACCATCGTCCTCCAGTTTCTGACATGGTCCCAGCAGGGTGGCACAGTGGGGGCGGGCTGGCTGCAGACCCAGGAGAGGCTACGGCTCCCATCCGGGCCCGGGCGGCAGCGGGTGGGCCTGGGCCAGGGGAACCTCGCTTCTGGGCCAGGCGTGGCAGCGTGGCCATGGCTGTGCCCAGGCAGCTGCCCATGATCTCAGTGCAGCGGAGTCGGGACCTCTGAGGTGGAAATTCGGCTTCTGTAGGTTCCCCAAAGTCTGCAGTTGTGAAGCACGCAGAGCTAGGAGGATCATTGGCATCGGGCACAAGGACAGAGCGTGGGGTCACTCGTGGGGGCCCTCTGGGCACGGGGTCGTGCCTGTGTGGGGCCAGTGCCCCATGGATGTGGCAACTGTGTGGGGCGTTCCCTGCTGCTGAGGGCGGGGTTGGGGGGAGAACCTCCCACTTCCCAGCACTGGTCCCAGGCGCTTGGCTCCAGCAGAGGGGCCAGGAGGGCTTGGCTTCTGTATGTGACATTGCAAGGGAGAAAATGGAATAGTTTCTATCAGGTCCCGAAAATTATAGAAAGTCGGCACAATGGCCCTGTCTTTATTGTGAAAATGAACATAATACACCTTAAAGAGCATTCGCTCTTTTAAGGAAAATGAAGTCAACTTATTAGTAAAGCGGATATGTCTTTCATTCTTCTTGAATAGTACCTGATGTCAGTCACCTCTGCAATCTGAAAATGGTGAAAGCCATTCAGGATTTATGTTTTAGCACTGACAGTGTTTATTTATGTGGACTCTCCTATGATTTTCAACCTTTATGCCCTTCATACATTCCTATATAGGTCGTCTCCATTCTGAACACTTAGGCCATTTCTTTCATGTCGTTTCTATTGGTAATCTGTGTTTACAGAGTAGAATGAGGCACATTTCCAATTTACAGTTGGAAAGCAGGTAACTGCAGAAACAGTGTTCAAAGGCTGCTGGTAAATTGATTATAGCACTTCAGTTTGGAAGTCTTTTATTGAGTTGGCTCCAGTACTGGAGTAGGAGAGGGAGGGAAATGTGGTCAACAGAGGAAGCAAGTATTGGATGAAGAGTGGCACCTGATTTGTCTGGACCCAAGCTGTAGATGGCTGAATGAGGAAGACACTAAAAAGAGCTTGATGAGGAAGTACAAAAGGCTCCTGTAGCTCAGAAAAAAGGCCAGTGTTGAAGCCCGCGTGCTGTCAACTAGTGGGTGATACGAGAATAAGATCCTTAATGTTCTACTGTGTAATTTTTCTTGTTTTTTCATTTTGGTAGATCCTTATTTAACTGATGATCCCTAAATATATGCTTTTCAAACAAAGGAAATTTTCTATGCTAGTTTTTTCTTAATAAGACATTTCTTCATAATGGTAGAAATGACTTCATTCATAGCTAAGACACGTTTTCAGACAGTTATAACACCAGAGTGGATGTTCTAATGTAATTAGATATTATTTACTTACAATGTATTTTTTTCCCCCATCATCTGCAGAATTTCCCACGTCCTAGTTTGCAATGTAACCCAGCGAGTGTCATTCTGGTTTGTGGTTACAGATCCTTTGAAAAATCACACCCTTCCTGCTGTTGAGGTACAGACAGCCATAAGGTAATCACCGCTAAATATGTCTTCTACTGGTAAATCAACTTGTTGATTAGTTTGCTGTTTTCATAGATTTTGAAGAATTCTCTCTCTTCTTACAATGACTTATGTATAAATATGTCAAAGATTTAATTTCGTTAGTTTGTTTTAGTGATCAGTTTGGATGCGTGGTTCTCATCCAAGGACAATTTTGCTTCCAAGGAAACATTTGGAAATGTCTGGAGACATTTTTGTTGTCATGGTTGAGGTGGGGTGTGTATGGGGGGTTCTACCAGCATTGAGTAGACAGAAGTTGGGGTGCTGATAAACATTCTATTATACACAGGATAGCGCCTCAAAACAGACTTATTCAACCCCAGATGTCAGTTGTGCTGTGGCTGAGAACCCCTGGTTTAAATATTAGCCACGAATGTTTACTACTGTCTTCTTTTGTCAAGAACACCTTGTATGGCACTATTGTGTGATGGTTCATCACATGGATTCTGGAGCCCAAATCCTTCTGGTTTTGCCTCTTGCTAACTGTTTTTTTTTTTTTTTTAATTTTTTTTTCAACGTTTATTTATTTTTGGGACAGAGAGAGACAGAGCATGAACGGGGGAGGGGCAGAGAGAGAGGGAGACACAGAATCAGAAACAGGCTCCAGGCTCTGAGCCATCAGCCCAGAGCCTGACGCGGGGCTCGAACTCACGGACCGCGAGATCGTGACCTGGCTGAAGTCGGACGCTTAACCGACTGCGCCACCCAGGCGCCCTTCTTGCTAACTGTTTAAATACAGATAAATTACTTCCCCTTTGTTATTCTCTTGTAATCTGTAAAATGGGAATAATTATGGTACCTCTCAGAGTTGTTGAGATTAAATGAGTTATTAAATGTAAGGTGTTTTAAAGAACCAGTCATACCTTTGACTTTTATTTAAAAACCAAGACAAAAATTCTCATTTCTTGGGTCTCTAAGGACCTACCTTCCTTAATTAATGTACAGCCTTTCCCTTTAAAAGATACTTTTTGAAAAAACAAGGTAAAGTCATGACTCTCATACAAATTAAAAATAAATGCCATTAAAGATTTTATTATCTCATTAATTAATGAGGGAACTAGTAGTAAAATGTTCAAAACAGTTCAAAGGAGACTTTCAAGGAACCATGCATATATAGAAATCAAAATAGTAATCAGTCCATAGAAAATCAAGTGGACAAAAATAATTTACATTATGTCAGTTTTCTACTACTTACAGATTTGCAACATAACTCAAAGACCGGGGCACCTGGGTGGCTCAGTTGGTTAAACATCCAACTCAGTTTCAACTCAGATCACGATCTCACGGTTCTGCAAGTTCGAGCCCTGTATTGGGCTCCACACTGACGGTGTGGAGCCTGCTTGGGATTGTCTGTCTCCCTCTCTCTCTCTGCCTCTCTCTCAAAATAAATAAATAAAAACTTAAAAAAATAACTCAAGGACAAGTAGAAGGTGTAAATTGTCCAGAAAGGTGTATCCACCAGACACTCAGTAGTATTTTTTTAACCCAATTTCAAGTTTTACACGTTTTTTTCCTGAGAGTTTTTCTCCTCCTCTCCTTGTGATCATAACAAACTTTCAAAACTGAAATGTGTTCTTGACTTCAAAGAAGAGGAAGGATGCAGTTTGTTTTTACTTCACCCACTGTGCATTTTATGCATGTCAAAACTTTCTATCCCTCAAATGATTAATGTTGGGCAAAAGTATATTGGAAGAATGAGTTCAGGAGATCAACTCTTTCTCGAACAAGAAAGAGTGAAACAAAGTAGCGCTCCTCAACAAAGGATTTACAAGTTACTGAAGTTCTGCTCTTCACCAAGGAGAAATATCTAGTGAAAGAATTCATTTGCTCTCTGTAAAATATTAACATATAAGATAATGAGTATATAATCAAATGCCAAAGGTTTTTGTGTGAACAGTCATCCAGTTCCCTTACTGATCTGTACCAGTGCGAAATGATTTAATCTGCTTTAGCGGGAAGGTTTGACCTGTATTGTTTCTGCACTTCTGCCCCTAAGACTTACTGTTAATACCCAGCCCTTAGGGAATAAGAATTAGGAACAGTGTATTTCACAGGAAAAGGAATTTTATTCAAGCTCTCCCTGTGATCTGCGGGGGCCACAAGGAAATTAAGCTACTGCAGTTAAAGCAGGCTTCCGTGAACCTGAGGGAGAAGAGTGAGTGTTTGGGATGAAAGTGTCTGTCAAAGGTCCTAGCAGGGGAAGCTATTTAGGGGGTGAGGATGGCCAATAGAATGAGAATTTGTGTTAGGGAATGTGTAGGTCTCACCAGGATTGTATGAAAATAAAGGGAACAATACCAAGAAAGAAAGATACCAGGAAGAGCAAGGAGATGGTAGCTAGAAGGCAGGTGATAGGAATTTTTGGGCTGAAGAATCTATGGAGTTGAAAAAATAATGCTAGTTCCACTGAATATTTGCATAACACTTCCTGCTTCATAAAGCGTGTTCCTACACATCTGTGGCATTTAATATCAACACCAATTGTTTTTGAGTAATTATTATTATCCTCGGTTTATAAATGAGGGAATTGAGGCCCAGGGAGATTAATTTTAATTGATTTGCTGAGGCCACCACACTAGAAATATAAAAAGTGAGGATTTGAACCCAGGTGCGCTGCCATCACACCCAGTGATGTTTTTTCTCTCCACCAGAGTGTCCACACTTACGGAATTATGTGAGGGAATGAGCCACCAGTTCTATGATGTCTGTTTTAGCTCTGTCGTGAGGGCCTGGCCTTATCAGGCCAATCTTGGCTGGAAGATGTCCATGGTGACTGACACCTATTGGGGATTTCAGTGATGGTTGGAGTTCTAGTCTGTATTGAACTTCTTCATTTTTTAAAAATTTTTTAAAAAGCACTTTTAATGTTTATTTTTAAGAGAGAGAGACAGAGCACAAGTTGGGGAGAGGGAGGGGCAGAGAGAGAGGGAGACACAGAATCCAAAGCAGGCTCCAGGCTCTGAGCTGTCAGCACAGAGCCCGATGCAGGGCTCGAACTCACTAACAGTGAGATCACGACTTGAGCCGAAGTCGGATGCTCAACTGACTCAGCCAACCCAGGTGCCCCTGATCTAGAACTTCTAATCAGCCTGAGAGGCAAAAGAACAACAGAGTGTTCACTAACCAGGTAGATAGAATGAGAAATACAGAGTAACTTCTCATTTTACTCTGAGTTATACCTTAGTTGTGGGATTCATTATTATGTGGAGAGGTTTGTGTTCCCAGATTACCAATAATATGTTATGGAAAAAGGAAACTTTCCATAGTTTGATAAAAGAAAATTACACTGGAATTATCGCCTGCTGTAGATTTTCTGGCTGGGATTCTTTTTCACATTCATGAATAATAATGCCTCAACATAGATTTTTATTTGCTAAAGGAGGTCTTTCCTGATAGCTTGGTGCCAGTCTGCAGAGATTCTCAAGCCATTACTGTCAGGTTCAAGACTTAAGCTGTACAGAATGGTAGTCACCCGCCAAATGTGGCTATTGAGCACTTGAAACGTAGCTAGTCCAAGATTAGATATTCCCTAAGTGTAAAGTATTGAGTACAAAATAAAACGTGAACCAACTCAATTTTGATTACAGGTTGAAATTATATTTTTCTAGATATATTGGCCAAAAAAAATGATTAAAATAATTTCAGGTGCCTGGCTGGCTCGGTCGATTGAGCATGTGACTCTTGATCTCAGGGTCATGAGTTCAAGCCCCATGTTGGTTGTGGAGCCTACTTAAAATTAAAAAGAAAAATTAAAATAATTTCACTGGTTTCTTTTTACTTTTTCTTAAATTGCACCTCCTAGAGAATTTGAAGTCACACATGAGGCTTACATATATTTGTATTTTCCATTGCTGCTCTAGAGGTAGATGAAGTCAGTTTGTCTAGTGCGAATTCAGTAGATGCCATACACTATCTCTAAGAAATCTCACCTAGTTTGCAAGTTACAGTTAGAAATTCACTTATTTGGTTTCATTCAAATAAGTCTTTGCTACCAACCCATCCCTAACTGCTGCCACCACCAAAAATGCAGATTTTCCCCAGGAAGAGTAACTCATTTACCTTGATAATTTTCTAGCTTTTGGACTCCTCAAGCACCTGTTAGTTTAGTCATATGGAACCACTTGGAATTTCCCGAACAAATCTACTATACCATGTCTCCATTCCTGTACTCACCACACATTTCAGGAAATCAAACATGGTGGGGAGAACTTAAGCTCGGGACTTCCCGTTACTTCTAGGACATTCACAACTGTGGAGGACAGTAGACAAGCCTTTCTGTAGCAGCCAGCACTGCTCTGAAAAGTACCACAGCACGATTGCCCTCTCATCAAACTGTCTAGTCAACCTCAAGTCTCATGCTACAGGGATGCTCTGTTTCTAGAGATAATTATAATCATGGAGAGATGGGTCTGGACCTTCTGTTTCTAATTGTTTTCCTCTCTTGTTTTGTTTGTTTTTGATCATTGTTGTATCCTAGAATGAATAGGAACCGGATCAACGGTGCCTTCTTTTTGAATGACCAGACTCTTGAATTTTTAAAAATTCCGTCCACTCTTGCACCACCCACCGACCCATCTGTGCCCATCTGGATTGTTATATTTGGTGTGATATTTTGCATTGTCATAGTTGCAGTCATGCTATTGATTTTATCAGGAATCCGGCAACGTAGAAGGTAAGATACTATAAGGGAATGATTTAAAGAGCATTTTCCTATTTCCTCATGACTCGGGAAAGTAAGGAGAGCATTTTCCCCAAGCTGAAGGTAATGCCTTAAATCTGAAACTTTGAAAATATTGGTGATTGGCAAAATGTCACTTATGCTCTTGTGCTTAGAGACTTTTTACAGTCCAGTGTCCCTTACTATGACTCCTTCCATTACTGTCTTTTTCTTTGTTCTACACCGTATGAATATTTCATATCAAGAATTGATTTGAATATCTGTGTTAAGATTTTGTAAGGTGGATATACAAAGCTAAGCAGATTTCTTGGGTACGCAGGGTTAATCTTTAATAGTCCTCCAGCTCCAAATGCTAGCAGTTCCACAGTTCTTTCCATGCATCCCCAGCTTGGCTTGCCTTTTCTTGGCCTCGTGCCTACAGCTGCCATCTTGTCCCAGATACTTTTGCGCTTTTATACTTCCCTCCCTTCAATAGTTGCTTGTCCCTCTAGTGCCTATGGTATTACATGGAACCATGGCCCTAGAAGTGACCTTTGAGTCAACACCTTGCATCAGAATCACCTGAAACATTTGTTAAAATGTAGATTCCTTTGCACTACTGCAGACTTTCTAAATTATAATCAGTGAAGGGGATGTATTTTAATGAATATCCAGGTTATTCTAATTCACTTAATTTGAGGGCTTCCAATTTAACTACTTTATAGAGATTCCTACTCCCTGAGTTCATTTATCTGGATTCTGGGGCACTGCAAACTTTGCTGTCTAAATGATTGCAATTACTTCAATCTGGTTGGAATTGCCGACCAATGGAAGAGTTACTAAGGCAGTGGGACAGGAGGAGAGGAGATAGGATTTCTCAGCATGATGAAAGGAGAAAATAAATTTGTTTACAAGAACCTCTGATCCAGAGAGGGTCCTTACTCTTCATTAGGCCATTTGATTCTTCTAAAACCTTCTCTTCCGATACCAAGGAAGAGGAATTCAGGTAAGTGGGAATCACGGGACATGCGTTGGTTTTCAAAAGGGTCGATGCCCACACAGACATGTGGGATGAGTTTGGCCAAGTATGTGTTCAACTAAATGTTTCTCTGGGGGTTTACTCCTTTCCATATGTCTCACTCTAGTTGCTAGCAGAAAGGAATCATTTTAAATGTTGGCCTTTGTAAATTTCTTTTCACAAATGATAAGTGCTCTAGAATAAAGGAGATTTATGTCTAGTGCCCAAACTAAACTCAGAGATTAATATCAAGTTGTACTTGCTCAACTTTCTTCATGTTGGCATGGCATGTAATGCAGAGAGCCTTGGAACGAGTTGTTAATTTGTTTTGAGTTTTTTTCGAATTTTAAGAAATATTCCCTTGCAATGTTTGAATACTTACGCTTAATATTTTTAAGTTTCGTATCAATCCTAGAATGCTGTGATCCTATAGTTTCTAAGGATCGTAACTTCGGTGAATGCGCTTCATCTCCTTGGTTCCCACTTTTCTCACTAGCACAATATAGTATAGGAGTTAGAAGAATGGACTCTGAGACTGCTTAGATTCAAAGTATTTATCTCCTAGATTCTGCTCTTGTATGTAATCCATTAACTCTATGCATATCAGGGAGCATAGGCAATGAGTCAGGGAAACCAGGCTCAGGGGAATATGGTTTGTGGTGCTAGAGTCGAGTTGGTTAAATCTATCTTTGTTGCCTGTGCATAGATAACTCTTCTAGAGTGACAGTCCAGTGTACTGGAAATAATGAACGTGGTGGGGTCAAAAGAGTTAATGCAGTGGTGTGCTTAGAGTGGTGCCTGGCCTGCAGCGAGCGCTCAATAAGTGTTAGTTCTATTATTTTATTATCCTGCCATTTGCTGGTCTTCCAGCTTTGCTATCTCTTTCCTGCTGAGCAGATTCTGCAGTAATATAATCACTGGGTGTGTAGCGTCATAATCTGTTGCCTGGGAGACGTGAGACTGTTGTCACAACCCTGCCTTCGCAAATTCATTTCGTGTTCAGACTAGGAAAACAGATAGACAAATCTCTTGCGTAAACCTGGAGAGCATCACTAATTGGCAAATATAGTCAGGACAGTTATGACAGCCTTCTGAAGATAAATTGATTTGTTGTGTTTTGAGTCTGATACGCTCTGTGGTGGGCTTCTCTTGGGCAAAGTATTGCTTTGAAGGTGTGGAGAGGGTGCAGTTTGAAGTGGGAAGAGCCCCGATGATTGTCATGATAGCCCTTTCTAATCATGCAAGAAGCAGGAGTTGCCCCCAATGCCTTTAGTCCTGAGGAAGACAAAGATTTGTCCGACAATCCAATCCATACATTGGATAGTAATGAACATGGTTTGCGTGATACAGACCTTAAACTTAGAAGGACAGACTGCAGAGTCATCTAAGTTACCATTTTGCTTCTGTGGAGAAGAGTGCCACTGTCATCTAAGACATACGCATACTTAACTTTACTGTTGAGGAAATTTCTCAAGTAAAGCTTTGGCAATTCTTCTGCCTGGGTCAATAACAGCATTACATTCATTATTCATATACAGTCATTGGAAGCCAAACTAAGTGAACTCAAACCCCAGCTATACCCTTTAGCCAAAAGGCCTCAGTCAAGTCATCTAATTTCCATGGGACTGTTTTGCCATCTGTAGTAGGAAGATAATATCTCACAGGGCTTCCATGAGGATTGGGTGAGATAAATGTATGTGAAGTACCTAGTATATAGTAAGCTCTAAATAAACAGTAATTATTATTATCCAAGCAGAGCTTACCCCATTTCTGTGACTAAGAGATGCTGAAAAAGGATCTCTTTTCTGTCCAGAAATTGCCATGATACTGTAAAAAAAAATTTCTAGTTCAGTGGTTCATTGCTTGGGACTTTAGTAGTGAACACATATTTTAAAAGGCAAATGACACCACAACAATTGTTATTGTTACGGGCTAACAGCTAGTTAATAAAGCTAAAGTACTGACAAAAAAAAAAAAAGGCAAATGACCTTATTAGGGTTACTGTTTACTAGAATAGTGGTGGACTGGTTAACTAGCTTTCTAAAAAATACTCTGATTTGTAACATTTGTTGATTTCCTATCAAGTATGAGATTTCTGAATGTTTAACAACCACCTCTGGCAAGCCCATGCCAGCCAGCTTCCACACACCAATGCCACCTCCTTGGGAAATAATTTGAGGAAGATGCTCCTTTCTCTGTTACCGTCTAGTTGAGAATAGCAGTTTGTGGAAATGAGAGATTTGTTGGAGGAAAAAAAGTTGGAAAAAGATTTTTTTTTAAATTTTCTTTCAGGAGATACTTAGGCAGCTGGGTAGGTGGGCAGGTGCCCAAGATGGACTGCATATACTCCATGGTGACGTCTGTACTAGATCTGTGTCTAGCCCCAGCCCACAAGCAGATGTTTTAGATCTCTGGCCAGCTTTATGATGATGGCAATGATGATGACAGTGATGGTTGTAATGGTGATGGGGATGTGATAATGATCATGGTGATGAAGTTGTGATGTGTGCTTTAGTAGAAAGAGCACTGGCTCAGTACTCTTGGTTTTGGGTTCTGATCTCAGGCCCCGGTGTTTACTAGCTGAGTGGTCTTGAGCAGGTGACATATGGAAAACGAGGATAATAATATTTTTCTTAAATAGCTATGATTATAAGGAGACAAAGTCAGAGAATACACACAAGTGCTTTATACCCTGGAAAGTGCTATAGTAATGCAAGTTACTAGCATTCACCATCAAAAAGCAGTTAAAAGCCCTAACTTTATATAACCTGGGACTGTGCTATAAAAGGAGAGTCACAGACGCAGCATGATTTCAGACTTGCATGTATATAGTAGGATTGGTTTATGAATCCTGTATATAAATAGACTGTAATAACGTTAGGGTCTTAGGAAAGGATCTTAACAATGATCTAAATTCATCTCTCCAGAGGCCAAGGCCCAAAGAAGTAAAAAATGTCTTATTCCTTTATCAACCATCCACTCTGTCATAGGAGCTCTAGTATGTATCATAGAAGATACATACATAGATAACATGGATGGGCCTTGCCTGCAAGGAGATTATAGTCTTGTACTTGGTAACAAAGCCACGTTAAGGACTCAGGACATAAAACCCTAACTAATGCTCACAGTTGAGCATAGTCATGAGTAAATTCACTTGGTTTATTTCTGGTTTTGTTTCTATTCCTATAAGGTCAGTAGTAAATAGGAATACTTTTCAGTCTCTACAGATATTGCTTTTCACACAAGGGGATGGGGCTCAGCCTACACACTTTCATTATACTGAAACTTCACATGAAACTTCACATTCATGTAAAGTCTTAATTAAGTCAATAGTCTTAAAAATAGATATGTACATAAAATCAGGAATGTTATAGCTAATAATTGTTTCCCTTTGCTGTTCTTAAATGTACATACTCAATAGGAATCAAATAGGTGTTTTGAGTGAATCCTGGGGAGATTAGAGTTCTAGTTTACTGGTGAGACAAATCTTGTTCCATTCTCAAAGACAAGCTGCTCTACATATTTGAGTCTTAGCTCCTTCATTTGAAAAACAGGGATAATAATAAAATCCTTATAATATTGCACATAATAATCCTTATAATATTAATAATAGGAACTAAATGAGGTAATGTATATAAAGCATTTAGTCTGGTTTCTGTCACATAATAGATACTAATTATTATTAGTATCCCTACTGCATGGCAGACATAAAGCAACCTGACTAGAGTCGCATGGTTAGAAAGTAGTAGTCACCGTATTTAAAACCAGGTGGGCTGGATCCCAAAGCCCATTGATCTCACTGAACTGTGGTGCCCACTGAAATCATTCCAGTAACGCCGATATTTTCCCCAGGAATCACTGGTACTGATCATGAGGACACTCCCAATTCTCCAATAATTAATTCTGTTCTGTTTAAAATCATATTTGTCTGTCCTTTGTTGTTTTCTGGCTATTCTTGGGCCTTGGCTCTTCAGCTCTATCTTGTTTGGAAGGAGACAGAAGTATTCTCTGTGCTTTTAGCTGCCACTACTTTATTTTGAACAAACCCTGCTTCTCAACACCCCCTAGCTCCGAGGGTCAGCTGATGGTTTTTTTGTCTCCTCTTTTGCCCCTTTTCTGTCTGGATTTATGAGAAATGTCTACTTTCGAGGCTCTTAGGAGCTAGTTTCAGGTATTTTAGTTACTTTCTAAAAAATCCTCCTGAACCACCTGACACTGCAGGAACAGCAGAAGTCATTAACACTCAATTTTATTTTTCAGGAAAAAGAATTCATGTTTTTAGCAGAACATCAATTCAGAATGATCCAGAAACATGGTTCAGTTTTCTTATTGTTAGTAAGAGCAATGCACAGGCAGTGAGTCAGTTTATTACAGGACCTACTATGAAATGTGACAAAGTACTATAGTACTGTTACATAACCTTTGAGCCGCTTATCGTGTCCAGCCAGCAAGTTACTGACATTGCAGTTTGTGAAGCCCAGCAATGCCAAGACTCAGAACAATTGGATCTAAGGTCACAAGAGCACAACATGTACCTAATTTGCCACTGACACAGCTTCATTAGATATGCTTCCGTAGCCATTTCACTCAATCTTTTTGGTTGAGAAGTCCTTCCTCTAAAGGAGACAAACTTGTCCTCATCTATTTGCGTCTTTCTTTTTAATTCCTCCCCATCCTCTGTGATGCCTCATGGATTAGTTTTATGGTTCAGAGGGGGAGGCAAGACTCCTTGCAGCCATCTACATGTGTCTAGCTCTCTGCAGTTTTTCATCTAATGTTTTATCATCGATAAAAACACTTTCTTAACTAAGGAAACTGACAAATAGATGCTGGCAACCATTATTTCTAAGACTACCACCTACTTCAGAGTGCTGCATCCACTAAGATTTTGGCAAGATGAGGGGCGCCTGGGTGGCTCAGTCAGTTCAGCGTCTGACTTCAGCTCAGGTCATGATCTCATAGTCACAAGTTCGAGCCCTGCATTGGGCTCTGTGCTGACCGCTCAGAGCCGGGAGCCTGCTTCGGATTCTGTGTCTCCCTCTCTCTCTGTCCCTCCCTCCGCTCAAGCTCTGTTTCTCTCTCTCAAAAATAAATTAAACATTGAAAAAAAATTTTTTTAAAGTTTTGGTAAGATGAATTTCATACTTATATATGCAAATTTTAGAGTAAGATTTGACTGTTGAAAATCTATTTACTGTTGTGGAGAATTATTATTCACTTCAAGCCCAATGAGGAATGAGTTTTGGGGAAATTGCGTGAACTATACAATTTTAATGATAATTTATAAATATGCATTTATTTTTTTAATTTTTTAAAAAAAATTACATCCAAATGAGTTAGCATATAGTGCAACAATGATTTCAGGAGTAGATTCCTTAATACCCCTTACCTATTTAGCCCACACCGCCTCCAGTAACCATCTGTTTGTTCTCCATATTTATGAGTCTCTTATGCTTTGTCCCCCTTCCTGTTTTTATATTATTTTTGTTTCCCCTCCCTTATGTTCATCTGTTTTGTCACTTAAAGTCTTCATATGAGTGAAGTCATATGATATTTGTCTTTCCCTGGCTAATTTCACTTAGCATAATACCCTCCAGTTCCATCCATGTAGTTGCAAATGGCAAGATTTCATTCTTTTGGATTGCTGAGTAATACTCCATTGTATATATGTATACCACATCTTCTTTATCTGTTCACCCATCGATGGACACTGGGCTCTTTCCACACTTTGGCTATTGTTGATAGTGCTGCTATAAACATTGGAGTGCATATGTCCCTTCGAAACAGCACACCTGTATCCCTTGGATAAATACCTTGGATAGTAGTGCAATTGGGTCGTAGGGTAGTTCTATTTTTAATTTTTTGAGGAACCTCCCTACTGTTTTCCAGAGCGGCTGCACCAGCTTGCATTCCTAATAAATATGCATTTCTTACTGGAGCTTCATCCCTATTGAAATATCACTCCTCTTTTTTATAATCCATAAAAAATGGGAAGGAAGATGAGTGAAATTTGGAGTTTTTCCCTTTTATTAACTCTTTTCTTTTCACTTTAGGATGAGGACTGAGTCTCTTTGAGCACACAGTAGTCACTCAAAGCATAGTTATTCAATGAATGCTGGATACTGTGAATGGAAGTGATATGATTGATGGTTATAGAATGTCCATTGCTTTTGCTTTCTGGAGGACATGGAAAGTAACAATACTCCTGTCCACCAGAGGAGAGGCAAGAGTATTCTAGTCCTCTGTTAGGTGATTTCACTTGGCTGAAACGTGAAACTCTGTGCTCATCCCAGCCTGCCCTGATAGCTGATGGCTGAGGCTTAGCCTGGCCAGTACAGTGTCTTCACCCTGAGGATGGAAAAACACAGGAGCTTATCCTTTACTAGGTCTCTGGAACTGTGACCTCCAGCTTCTAACCCAGCATTGGGCCTGTAGTGATAAATTGTGACACTTGATAGTGGCATATACAATAGTGAAATATTTTCAAGTGATGACGATGGGATCTACTGCATTGGAATGATACTTCACCTTTCTTGATGAACTTCAACTATTTGGAATTATCTAATAAACCATCAGCAAACCCTTGCAAAATCTATACTACTAATTTCTAAGGTAGGAAAACAAATGTTTTCCTCTATTCATTTGGAAAAGCAACAATACAAGAGATACAAGAAAGATTATGTGTGTATGTGTCCTTCCTTCCCTCTTCTTTTCTTTCTTCTTTCTTTTTTTTCTTCTTTCTTTCTTTTTCTGTGGTGAATCCCATTCAAGATCTACCTTTGCCTACTGTCTAACTTGACCTACAGCATTAGTCCATCCACCTATCCGTTAATTTATCATCCAGCCAGCCAGTCATTGATCCATCTGTCTAACTAGCTAGCCAACTATCCATGTGTCTGTCCATCCAACTCTAAGCACATCACTTAAGTGCCTACTCTGTGCTGAGTCCAGATCAGCTGTTTTATAAAATATTTTAAAATTTGGATTTGTCTGATTACTTCCTCCTGGCAGATTCAGGTAAAAAAAATTTGGTGATGGGGTGGGGTAGGAACACAGAACACAGAATTTTATAAATAAACAATAAATAAAATCTCAGAGGCACTGTCAATTTGTCTAATTGTTGGTGATGTTCACCAGATTTCTTCCTTGACAAAATACAAATATCTCTTTGTAATTAGTACACCGCTTGTGAGTGTGACACACTGAGACCATGTGAATATCCTGTTCCCCAACCATCCCTTACTCAATGGTTGAATATCCATTGATGAGCCTCATCAGAATGAATTATTATTATAGTGGTGATTTTCTATTTCTGTTACTCTTTCTATCTTAGTCGTCATTCTTTTATAAATAAGAGCTCTTTCTTTTTTCTCCCTTCCTCCACCATATTCGTTAAAACACATTAAAATGGACTCTCATGCAGGACAAATAGGAAGCTCTACCTCAGTCATCATTTGGGGCATTTTCACCACTTCCTCATTCACCAGAGACTCACCAAGGTCCTAAGGGACTTCCATAGTGGTGGGAGTCCATCCTGGTCACCACAGCAATACCCACCATTCCAGCAGTGTGATCCATTTGGGTCTACCTCTTTGAAGTTTCCACAGATTCCTGGAACAAAAGCATCTCTGGCAAGTCTGGGAGCATCATGCCCAAAATCATGCTTCTGTGATGCCCCAACATCTAACTTGTGATTAACCTCAGGGAAACTACTCTTCTCTGTGGTTGCATAGAGGTACCCACCTCTTTTTTTTTTTCCTTTTACCTTCCTTGATAACAAGCATAGTTGGCTCAGTGTCTTGGTCTTTCACAAAAGACAGGAAAACCCTTTGAATTCAAGGCTACAGCTTTCCACACTCCAAGGAAATATTAAGGGTAGGGCTAGCAGAGTCTACAAAGGGTCTGAGAATGAGGAACTCAAAGATTTACAGTGTCATACAGAGTTTTTTCGGGGAATGACCTGGAATTTTAGCTCCGAGTTGTAATGTAATTAGTAAAGTGTGTTCTGAGTTCCAAAAGCCCAATTTACAAACGAATGCAACTATTTTGTAATGAGTAGAGCCAAGTAATGATATCTGCAATTTATAATGGTTACTTCTTTTCTACAAAGGAATGTGAGTTTGGTTCTTGATGCCTCATTTCAATTTGATTTCCACCCACTATTTACAGACTATTTGTCAAATCCTGTGAGAGGAATTTGTTACTTTTTTAAAATTCAATTTTTGTTAAATTGTTCTCCTAGAGCTAAATTTTTCAACTTGCTATTTTACCACACATTTTCTTCGCGTTCCTTCATGCAATTTGTGTGTGTATACAAACACATTCATTCATATAAATATATATTCACTCATATACATATTCATGCATATTTATTTTAGTATTCTAAATAAGACGGCTTATTCTGACCAGTATGTATATATCATCCATGCAGACCTCTTATCTTAGTAGCAACTTTTCAGCTCATTAGCTCGTTACGATCTTTGAAATTTATTTGAAAATACAGAATGTCATCAACTATTTCATCATTCTAAGGTTCATCTTCCCTTTCCTACTCTCCATGTTTGTACAGAAGACCAGGATTTCTCCTCCTAGATCCCAATCATTCTTTCTGTGTGCATTTAGGATGAGCAAAGGACCAACTGAAGTGGATGACTCTGAAGATAAGTGTGAAAACACGATCACAATTGAGAATGGCATCCCCTGTGATCCCTTGGACACTAAGGGAGGGCACATTAACGATGCCTTCATGACAGAGGATGAGCGGCTCACCCCTCTCTGAAGGGCTGCTGTTTTGCTTCCCCAAGGAACTCAACACTTGTTTCTGCGCAACTGCTAAGCATTATAAATGATCAAAGGCAGATTGTATATTTTGTTTCACCATTCTTCTTTTGTAAGAAACTGTCAATGTGCATGAAAGTAAAAGGCAATCAGTTATATCCATGAAGACCTTTGGAATCATAAGCTGTTGACTACTCAGAGTGTTCCAAAATATTTCTCCAACAACACAATGTGTAATTGTAGTCATGTGGTGTCTTTAGTTATTGGTTTAAAAATGCATTTGTGTTAAGCATTTCCAGAAATAAGGTCAGGCCACTACATGTATTTTTTTTCACACTTTGAAGACCTAAAGAGAAATATTTTTTCCAGTGGAAAATACCTATAATATGGTATGGAAATCTTTGAAAGTGGATCCTTTTTGAATATTGTTTATATCACTCTGCACATGACTAAGAAATCAAGAATAGAAAATAATGATTATAACTGAGATGGATGAATATGGGAGTATCAATACATGAGGTGAAATTTGATCCTGTTATCATACCAATACTTGCTTATTCTCTATCAGTCTCTGATAGGGTAGCCCTGTTTGTTGACTATTTCTGCAATTTGTAAAAGTACAATCTATGTGAATTTAATAAACTGGTAATCATCTCTTTTTAATTATGCAACTGACTGTGGTCTGAGAGTTATTTTCATGCTGTGGAAGTCAGGAAACCTATTTTTTATTAGTTATGCGTAATCTATTCTACAACCCTAGAAATGAATTATTTTTGTTGTGTGTATCCTTACTTTGAAGACAACTTACAGTTAGTACACTTCATTACACTTCCAGATAGGCCATGATTCTTCTAAATTCTAATAATAATTTATTATACATTTATGAATAGAATGAAAATTTGCTGCTCAGTCTGCTACTGCTGTCACCCATAGTTGATGTTACCACAACAGTTTCTAACTCTCTCCCCTGACCCAGTGTTGTTTCCTGGATACAAACTCCAAGATGGGTCGTTGCAAGCAGAAGGCTTACTGGGGAATGCTCTCAGGAGATACACCTGTAAGAAGTGAGGAAGGCAGGTGTGGCAAATAGACTCAAAGAAGTCTGCCATCTAATGTTCACACCTTCATGTAATCTCTCTCCTTGAGTGAGGACGCGACTGGTGAGTTGCTTCTAATGTATGGAACACAGCAAAGATGAGGAGACATTACTCCTGCAATTACTTTATATCATGTCTGAGTCTGTCTTGCCAGCAGATGTGTTTAGAGACTCTCCTTGTTGGCTTGACTAAGTGGCCATGTTGGGAAAGCCTACATGAAAGAAACTGTGAACAGCCTCTAGGAATTGTTGGTGGCCTCTCAGCACTGAAGACAGCCTCTGACCAACAGCCAGCCAGAAGCTGAGGTCCTCAGTCCTTCAACCTCAAGGAAGTGAATTCTGTCAACAACTGGAGTGAGCTTGGAAGTGGATTTTTCCCCAGTCAAGTCTCCAGATGAGAATGCAGTCTGGTCAACACTTGGATTGCAGTCCAAGCAGAGGACCCAGTTAAGATGTGCCCAGACTCCCAACCCATGACACTGTGAGATGATAAATGTGTGTTTTTTCAAGCCACTAAGTTTGCCGTAATGTGTTATGCAGCAATAGGAAATTAATAGAGTGGGATTAGGCAGAGGGAGAAGTGACCAGCAACATGGTTACAATAGAGGCTTCAGGCAATCCTTCAAGGAGCTTAGGAGCTGAAGTTGTCCCTGATTCAGATAAGGTGGCTGGGCCTTTGTATCTCCACATTAGCCAGTCATGGCCATGGGTGCTCTCTGGGAGAGGATCTGCTGTTGGGAAAGGCAGTTCCCTGGGGCAATTCCCATCGAAGGGATCAGCTATGAGCCTTCAAAAGCCAATGTTTCCAGAAGCTGGGGATGGGAAGGTGAGCCTTGAAGAGAAGGCCTGGTGAACCCCCAGAATATCCACCACACCCTCTCCAGTCCACTGGCTGTAATGTAGCTTGAATTAATACCCAAAATGCAAACCTGATCCTGTTGGTTCCTGACATAGATGCTTTTAAATGGCTTTTTATTATCCTTAGGATAAAGCCAGACTCTTTATTATTTATTTTTATTTATTTTTAAGTGTATTTATTTATTTTGAGAGAGAGAGAGAGGGAGAGAATCCTAAGGAGGCTTTACCCTGTCAGCACAGAGCCCAATGAGGGACTCAAAGCCATGAAATGTGAGACTATGACCAGAGCCGAAGTCAGATGCTTACTTGACTGAGCCACCCAGGCGCCCCAAAGCCAGATTCTTTAAACACAGGACCTTCTGTGGTTTGACCTCCACCTTCCTCTCATCTCTTACCCTGGTCTTCTTTCTGTCTCTCTAACTCTCTCATCCAATCATAGCAAATCTCTCACTTCCAGGCCTTTGAACAAGCTGTTCTCTCTACACTGTTCCCTGTCTCTCAGCCACTCTTGTAGCTTGTCCTTAGCCTTTCTGTCACTTAAACATCTTACTCCTCCTGGAGGTCTTTGCTGGACCCCCAAGCTATATGCTCCTAGATTGCCCAGATGATTATACTTATCTTGTTGTTCTACAGTTACGTTATATTTAAATGTGTTTTTGTGGAGAAAGGAGACCATAAAGGCAAGAGTACCCTAGGGCCCACAAAAGTCCTAATATAGCCTTGTCCCCATGAACATTTTCATAACCCTCTTCACTTTCCTCCCACTTCTAACCAGATAGAATTAACCACTGCTCTGTAACCTTACCATAGCTATGTATCTTTTTAATTAAAGTCGTTATAATATTTTACTTTATTTGTTTTTACATACCTGTATCTTCACACTAAATATAATGTTCTTGGAGGCAGTGTTCAAATCACCTAGCATAGTTCCTTGTCTTCCTCTTTCCTTTATTCTACAGTGGTGAGCAAAATCGAACACAATCCCTGTCCTCATGGAGCTGAAAGTCTCCATAGTCAGAGCTCAATCAACATGTGCTACTAAATAAGTAACCGAGGGGTGCCTGGGTGGCTCAGTTGGTTAAGCGTCCGACTTCAGCTCAGGTCATGATCTCACGGTTTGTGAGCTTGAGCCCTGCATCGGACTCTGTGCTGACAGCTCAGAGCCTGGAGCCTGCTTCATATTCTGTGTCTCCCTCTCTCTGCCACTCCTCTACTCGCACTCTATCTCAAAAATAAATAAAAACATCAAAAAAAAAAAAGCTAAATAAGTAAACGAGATGGTGGCTCTTGCAAGCTCATCATCTCCTTTCTGAGAAAAAAGGTTGCCCCTCTGCCTGTACATGGAGGAGTTTGAATTTGTGGGTGTGAGATTTTTGATTTGGACACCATTTTGACTTGGGAACCATATGCTCTTTAATATTATTAGGCCTTCCTCATTTTTAGTAGAGGAAGATTTGCTCTCTCAGTTGACAATATACGATTTACTAAAGAACCATTTTCTGTCTTACATTTTCTTGAGCTCCATTCTCCAGAATAGGGTAGCTTTGCATATAGAATTGGTGAAACCTCATCAGAATTCAGTGTGCACTAGCAAGCATAATCCAAGACATGTATTCTCAAGATGGTGGAAATTGGTCTTAGTGGGAAGAACAAAAAGTTTAGATGTTACAATGGTTTATAGTCCTCCAAAGGACCACTGCACATAAACAGATAAAAAGTATATCTATAGTATTAACATTTTCTGGATAAGCTATTAGGAAAAGATGTCTAAAAAGTCTTAGTAATGGGGAAAAACAGATTGAGAAACACTGATCTCAGATAGGCTTCTTATTTTGAAAGCATGGGATGAACCAGTTTGATCACTAGATCATTTTCTTCACTGTTGGTTTATTCTGATGCTGAGGGGATTTATTCCACTTGCAAAGGTCTGCTCCACTAAATATCCTTGTTGGGGAAGTTTTCTATGCTAGCAGAAATGTGCTATAAACTTGACAGTCAATATAACAGCAAAATGGGGTTTATGTCTTCTGCCTACTGCCTTTGACAAACACTCTGGGTAATTAGAGAGCAGTCAGTCATCAACCACACCTTTCATTTTTAATTTAATGATCCTGTAATGTGTCACAAGGGAGCACATTGTGAGGTGATATGTACTGGAAATAAAATGGTGTAAAGCAAGTGGAAATACAGCTGTCATTCCACTCTCCAAGTCCTTAACAAAAACTGCGATGAAACTGGAAAGACAGAAGCGTCTGAAATCCAGGTCACTTAAAGAAAAAATGAGGTGGGGTGGTGATATCTGGATTTGTTTCATAGAAGAAATGTAAATGCAGGTAACTTTTGTGGGTTTTTTTTTTTTTTTGGTGTGGTTTCACCTTCCATGTTTTCCACAAGGACTAACCAATACAAAGATGACTATATTAAAGAATGCAGCGAGTTCTTGCGCTTCGAATGATCCATGATCAGATTCAAGATGTGAATGTCACCAATTGAAATATGCACATTTATCATTCCTGAATAAGGAATAAAGAATGAGAGAGAACCCAGCTTGAAAACCAAAAAAGAGTAAAAAATGCTTCAGAGCCCAAATTCCCAGTCCTTATTTCAAATTCATGGGGCCCCTTTATATAATATTTTATTTCCCATTTTACATCCTGTTTTCCTTCATAAAAAAATACTGCATATCTAGTTAACTCGATTACATAAACAAATGCACGGAAGATTTCCCCCCTTCTTTCCTACTATCTTTCCTTTGCTCCTTCCTTCCTTTCTGCCTCAAGAGTTTATTGAATGTCCACTCTATGTAAGATATCATGCTAGGTTCAGGAAATGTAAACAGAGGAAGAATATTTTAGAAGGGACCCATTCATTATTTATGACAAGATTAAGTTTGTTACCAAGAATACCATTCTATTTTAGGGAATGTGGGGTTGAATGAATGAATGAATGAATAGATGATTTCTAGCTGTTATTTACTGAGTTATTTTGCTTTTTATTTTTATAGCATTGTTTGAGAAAGAATTTTACATCAGTTATGGGTACAGATT